TATATATATATATATATATATATATATATATATATATATATATATATATTTTAATCATATATAAATAATACTTCATCCGTTTCACAAAAAATGATCTGGTTTGACTTGATACGGTTTAAGGATATAAAGAAGACTTTTGAATCTTGTGGTCCTAAATTAAAGTTAGATTAAATGTACAAAATTACCCTTTGATCTTATGGCCCTAAACATGTCACGTGGAAAACTGAAATTAAAATGTTACCAACAAAAGAAAGAGTTCATTCTCTTTGAAACAAACTTAAAAGAAAAGGAGATCATTCTTTTTTAAACGAAGTGAGTATAATTTTTTATTGAAGGGGGTTCGAATGAATTTCATTCATACAAAATGGCTCCGCCCCTGAATGATGTCGTTTAAAGTTTGAACTGTTTTGCTAAATATAGTGGTAGGCTGAAAAATATATTGTTATTTTCAATTAAAATTCTCGACTTCTAAAGTTTTAAAAATGAAACTATATTTTCAACAACATATTTTACCTCTAAAATAAAATCTTTCTTAGTAAATCTGAATTTATCGAGCCTCAAAGCTAACATCAAATAGGAGAACCCAAAACATCTAGAACATTTTGGTTTCATTTTCGAAACCCAACTTTATTTTGTCAAATTCATTTTGGTAAAGTTTTTGAAAAACTTTGTAATAAATTAAAAAAGGTACTTTGTTGTGTACCACACAAATGTGTATGAAAGATTCCAAAGGAAAAGTTTGCAACTTTTTCTCCCTTTTTATCTATAGTATATACAAATAGATTCCTACTTATCTTGGTGAGCATATAAAATCTAGTTTAATTTATTTGATGAAATTTATAGCAATTAACTATTTATTAATTCTTTTTTTAATTTAAGATTGTCTTCTTTTGGTTTGAGGTTAACATTCTGTTACTGAGTTCATATAAGTTCACTTAGATACAAGACAAGAATAAAATTAAACAGAATAGATAAAATGAAGGTCATAGTTCAAATAATATGGATGAAATTTATCTTTTTAGTAAAAAATTTCGGGACGAATTTAAAATATTATAGGAATGAATTTTCATATCCTCTTATTGTTGTAGGTATGAATTAAAGGTCAGGGTTTGAATTATCTCTTTAGTAAATCTATTTGAAACGAATTTAAAATATTATAGAGATCCAACGTAAATTTATATATTTTTTTTATGTATGAAATGGTGGTCCTGATTTGAACAATGAGGATGAAACTTAATATAAATGAATTTGTCCAAAATGAATTCAAAATATTAAAGAGAGTATTTTATATATCCTCTTATTTCTTGTTGTAGGTATGAAATGGAGGTCATCTCAAACAATGAGGATGAAATTTATCTCTTTAATGAATAGGATCGACGAATTTAGAATATTGAAGGAAGAATTCTCCGACCTGAAAACCTAAGGGTTCCTCTACAAGATTTGTCTACGAAAGATGAGTCAGGGCCTAAGACCAGGTCGAAAATTTGCTCATATAATCTCACTAAAGATGTTAGTGAATTTATCCAGACAATTTCACAATATTCTATAAATTATTCTTCATATCATATTTTAGGGATCGTTTGATAGTTGATTAAAATTATGTAGAGATTAATTATTAAATAATAAGAGTAAAGAAACTTTTTTATAGAAAATTTATTATTTATTATTTAGTGAACCTGTCATCTGAAACGAATTCAGAATATTATAAAGAAAAATACTCCATATTCTCTTATTTCCTATTGTAAGTATGAAACAAAGCTCGAACTCGAGCAATGGAAATCAACATTTTTTCTATACAAAATTTGTTATTAGCCTCTATAGTGTACAAAATTTGTTATTAATCTCTTTAGTGAATCTATTTGACGCGAATGCAAATTATCGTAGAAAGGAGAGGAGAGAAAAGGAAAAGAAGAGTATTATATTCCTCTATTCAACTTTAGTATATTGATTATTTTGTCTTATTTTTAATATTAAACTATTAAATATTTCTCAAAATTCTTGGTAATAAAACACTCAATTTGCTAAAGTCATCATTCTTGTTCTATTATTATTTCTAAAGGCAACAAAATCAAAATTGACTTCTTATGATCATTGCAAAACAATAATTCTGTTTAAAATATGAAATAAATTATAAAAATTACACATTTGAGGAACCAAAAACAGTATTTACTGTGAATTTGTACAATTGCTTTCTTAGCAACAAAAAAAAAAAACATATATAGTTTACTATATTGTATGTTTGATGAGATTATTCCAAAACAAACAAGAAAATAACACTTGCAGGATCTTTAAACCACCCCATGGTTTGTGTTTCCTGCTATACATATATATTTATATATTAATCATGTTGACTCCAAAATAAAAAACAACAAAATTTAATAAAACTAGGGTTTTTTCTGTCCAGAGAAAAAACTATTTTGATTACAATATTTAGGTTCATTTTAATCAAGAACCTAAGGTGAAAAAAAGACTCTTTTTACTGTAAAAAAGAGGGAAAAAAAACTTCTTCATCATCATAATATTCTATTTGGGAATTTTTATAATTTATAAGTTAAACTCCACATCCCAAGCCTCTTGCTTCTGATCCTTTCATTATTCTCAGCCTCTTACAAGAAGACATAAACATTCTGCAAAAAAAAAAATAGAATTCAAAAACCCCATTAGAATTACACGAAAATGCGAGTTTTTCTAGCCGATATACATAAATTATATACATGATATACATGGAATATACATTCAAGATTTCAAGAACTTACTCCCAAGGAACATCACCAACAAGCATCAAATCACCATCTTTGTCTTCATAAGCAGGGGCAAATTCAGAGCCTTTATAGCCTTCTCTTTCTGAGTATTCACCTATGGTGAGTTTGAACATGTTTTCTAAGGCTTTTAGTAGTTCTTGATAACATTTATACATTTTCAGATCAATTTTTCTTAGATAAGGGGCACCATCCATGCTAACTTTGACATACATTCCAGATTCAGATTCTGTTTTCTTTGGTTGGATGATGTTTTTCCTGTTAGATCTCACTGGTGGCCAACCCACAATTTGTGCCCTGAAAACATTAATCAACAACTTATTAGTCCTCATTTCTTCAATTGAATCAAAAGGGGTTTAAAAGCTCAGATTTTTTAAGCGTATCTGATAGCACAAAACATCTCACGTTAGCACAGAGATTGAAAAAGGACCACACCCCACAATCTAATTCTAATGTATATATTAGTAACTACTTTCACGACTCAAATCAAACAACCACAAATTATTAGTCCTCATTTAAAAAGTTTAAATTTTTAAGCGTATTTGATGCACAAAACATCTCACACGTTCACGTTAGCAAGGATTGAAAAAGGACCACACCCCACAATGTATTCTTACGTACATATTAATGATTAGTTCCACGATTCAAACCAAATTATTAATAGTTCTCATTTCTTCAATTGAATCAAAAGGGGTTAAAAAGTTCAGATTTTTAAGGTATCTAATGCCCCCAAATATTTACCATAGAGAAAAGATGGAAAAATCCAAGTTTAGCTAACCAACTAACTAAGCTATTAAAATTTCTCGAATTTCAAGAAACTTACTTGGCAACAGGTGGTGGGGTTTTGACATGATCAGAACTTGACTTAGATTCACAATCTTCTTCATCATGAGTTGATTCAGGTAAAGCCCTTTTGTTGTTATTCTTGGAATTTGATATTTCTTGGTCAGATTCTTGATCTTCTGTACCAGGCAAACCTAATCTCAGCTCAGTGGCTTTGAAATTCAGATCTTTCTGATTGCCCACTATACTTGTCATTTTCTTTCTCTCCTCCAAAAAAAATTAAAAATTGAATCTTGAAATACCCAAAACACCAAATGAAATCCTCAAATCTCAAAACACACACACACAGAAATTCTTTAAACACTTTCTTGATCAAGATTGCTCCTTTATTTACTATCTCAGAAGAAGTTGTGTATTTCAAGAAAAAGGTGAGGTCTTTGCAAGTTGTTGGTTGCTGTTATATAAAGAGCAAAGGAAAATTTGTAGACAAAGGGATTTTAGGTGGGGGGTGGGGTAGTTAGAGGAGTGGGGGTGGGGGGTATTAAAGAATTTTTATTTTTTAAAAAAAAAAAAATTTGGTTGAAAGTGCATAAATTTGGGACAAAGACAAGGTAAAGTTGTCGGCAGGGAGAGGAGCAAGTTTAAGACAAGTGAAGCAACATTTAGGGGACAAGAGTGGGACAAGTTGAGCCGCCCATATGGAAGAGACTTTAAGGAGGATTCAATGGAAAATGATGGATGGTCAAGATGAGTTTTGGGACCTTGTGGAGCAAAATAAGGTACGTTCGATTGTATGTATAATATATATCTTGGGGTTTGAGAGGTGGGGATGGGTGGGTGGTTGGGTGGTGGTATGGAGGGTAAGGTATTTCTTGTTCGGTGTTCGGTACTCGGTATTCACTATTCATTCTGATTGATCAAAAAAAGAAATTTACAGAAATTTCACTGCTTTAAAGCTAGTTATAATTAGATACACTTAAATTTGCAGTATTACGAACTTTATAAGATTTTGGAATGATGAGATATGTTTATATATATTAAGATATATGTATACTGAGATATGTGAATCAATATGAGATGTAATTTTTTCAAGGTACATTGTCTACAAGCGGTTTTTGTTTGTATCTGGGATACATACGAAAGGGAACTTCTAGAAAATCTCACTAGTTTAATTGATAGTTACTTGTATATACTTTAGTTTGCATATTATAAATTTTATTTGATTTTGTTGAGTTTAAATACGTCCAAATACATGTATCTTAGAATATATGAGATTAAAATTAGGTATAATTTATTCTTGATATATCGTATTCAAATGAATTTGCATGTATCACGATTTCTCCAATTTCAATCGTCGATCTCCTATGTATTTGTTACATACATATATGTTTGTATCTGGTGTAATTTGCATTTATTTGGGATACCTTAATTCTCGCTTGCTTTCCTCTCCATCTCACTCGTCTCTCTCCCTATTTTAATGTATTGATATTAAAAATACATATATCTACAAGTATTTTACTCAACATCTGATGAAGACTCATAATTAGTGATAAAATACGTAACTATTTGTAAGTCTAGATAAGATTAATTTATATCATACTTTTGGGTTGTAAGCAAGGAATTCATTAATTTATAAAATAAAATATAGAAAAAATTCACATAAATTATATCAATTACGGGAGAATACAGAGTAAAACAATTTAGTAAGATAAAGAAAAAGATGTCCTTCAGGATGACATAGTTGGTTTGGAGGGTTGTCATCCATCCGGATGATTCGAAATCGGTCCCCCCTCAATGCCTTCTGAGTCGAGTCTATCGCATAGGACTTGCCTGATATGGTTTATATCCCCTGTGTAATTTGCGTGTTATTGCAAAGTGTCCACCCCAAGGATAAAAAATATAGCAATTACAGATTATCCCGAAGTTAAAGAAAAAGAAAACAAAGAATGTTAGCCAACAAAGGTGTAGTGATTCAGTTTTTAAGAAATCTCTTATATTTATAATATCCTTTGTTTTAATTTTGTTTGTCGGGTTTTTGATTAGCATTAGCAAAGATGTTTATACTAAGAAGTAAAAAAACTACCTTTTGAATTGTCGAAAGTTAAAATCAAACAAAAATTGGTACAAAAAAAATTAAAAAACTAACTAAAAATGAAGATAAACGAATTAAAATGAAGTATGAAATATCGAATTTGCCTTTTGAAAATATAAAAGATTTTTCAATATAAAAGTGTATGAAAATTCAAGTGTTCTTATAATCCACAAATATCAACTATAATAATTTTGAATACTAGATAAAAAGAAATTATATAAATTACAATGAAATAATTAAGATTTTTCATTATTAACTAGAAATATCAAATTTAAATAAAAAAAATTTATCAAAAGGGTCACTTATAAAAATCAACTTTATAATATGTAAATTAAATTTAATCCAATTTTAATATAATTATCCGCTATCGAATAAAAAAATAAAAATAATGAGAACAAAAAAGGGAAGAAGAAGCCTCCCATGTGAAATTAAAAGGAGGGTCCATATGAGTGTTGGTTATGTATGGGCAAAGCATGGTAATAGCTTTTAGGGGAACTCAATTTTTTGGCATACTTCTAATTTTTGGTTAAGTTCATTGTCTCATCTATCCATTATTATATTTTATTTGTTAATGAATGTAACTTAAATTTATTTTTTTTAAAATTTCATTATATATGAAATAAGGAAAAGAAAAATTACATTCAGTATCTAATATTCACATTGAAGATAATAATATGCTTTTTAATAAAATCAATTCTATATACAAATTGATTCGTATTCAAAATCTCTGATTAAAATTAAATAAGTATTTACTATTCAACTACTAATACCACTGGCTAGACTAAAAACTTTGGTTTACATGTATATCATGAGTATAAAAGTCATCCTATATTCATAAATATTATATTTAATTTGTGTGTCTTGTAAGTATTTGATTTGACCCTCTCTTGAGGAATTTTATATATTTTTTTTTCCTTCGTTTGGCTTAATTTGGTTTAAACTTGACTAATCTGAAAACTCCAAAATGATATATTGTTGAAATAATGAAATAAAAGACAAGACATGGAAATGTTAGCTAAAGTGCTACACCTTTTTCAATTTGTGTTACCTTAATTTGCTAATTTTCTACTTAAAGGTCAATTTAAGTTGCCAAATAAGCACTATTTTCCTTTAAGAATAAATGTGTGAAACGTTTTCAAAATCATTATTTATTTCGGTTAGAGACGCATATATAAATGAGATTTTTTCTTTCGTAATTAATGATTTCAAGTTAGAATCATCAAATTACTTCAAAAATCTAAATTAACTACAAAATTTATCATTAGTCTATCATTAAATAACATAGTACTGACATTACTTTTAATGTTACGTTGCTAATTCATTATTAAATAAAATTAACGATAAATTTTTATTTTTTAAGGGAAGTCGTATCACTTTCTTTGTAATAGTACTGGAGAAATTCAATTACAAAATGTTTGTATCATGTGCAACGAAAATTTAAATTAATTGAGTCAGTATGCTTGATAATATTAAATGGTTATTAAATAATAAATATTACTTTTTAGTTTTCTAGAATTTTATTTCTCTGAATAAATAATAGCTAAACCTTTTTTAATAGAAAAATGAAAAAGGAAAAAAACATGCACCCTCCCACTAACAAATTATCAACACAAGCATCATTTACTTGTTGACACAACCCAAAAGAAAGAGTGAAATATACAAATTCATAATATGTTTATATTTAATTTTTATACGAATATATTAAATTTTAAATAATTTTTTATGAAATTTTTAGTTTCGCTTTTGCATGGTTTGAGTTGTTTATAAGAGCAAAAGAGAAGTTAATCGAAATAAAAAATCACCTCTTTTTAATTAAAAAAAATATTATCGTAGTACTACTCCTAGCTTTTACTTACAATATTCCTAAGAAAAATAAACATGATAATGGGCAACTAAAGAATATAATTGATTAAGTCCTACAATTGTTTAAAAAATAAAAAACATTTGTTTATCCATTTTCACTCAAATTAGGCCATGTGATTCTCCTATCCTTTTTTACCATTTATATGAACAAAAATAATATGATCAGACGTTAGAAGCGGAGTTAGAGTGTTGATTGAGGATTTAATTATATTCAGTAATTTTAATTTGAATTTTATAATTATTTTTATTTTAAACTCAAGAACATAGAAATAAAATTATAATTTATAATGCATAAACTTTTAAATACCGAATTCGTTTCGATAGGTATATGTACTTATGAACGTTCAAGTTGCATTTTTTTAGGGAAAAGTTAAGTGGCTAGATTTGTTATCAACCCACCCATTGTCTTTTCTTTCTAATCAACCAAATTTTGTAGAAATTAAAAAATAATAATTAATTTTTAAAAAATGATTACAAGGAAGCTTAGTAGCCTAATTAGTAGAAATATGAAGGCAATTTCCGTTCAACAAGAATAATCATATTGATTACGCGTATAAGTTCAAAAGGATGAAAGATTAAAAAAGTATCAGGAATTATCCAGAAAAAAGTAATAATTAGGTTTACTATTATTAATAGGGGAAAATTGTATATAATAGCAAACTAATAACTAAAATAAATGGAATAGCTAGGGTTTGATTTAATTGTGTTCCATAGTAAATGTTAGCTAAAATTTGTCAGCGTCTCTCTCCCAGAAATCTCTCTCGCCACTCTCCATTCTCGCTCGCCTCTCTCGCTTTATACACAGAAGTGTATAATTCTATTCCTGTTTTGTATAAAGCGAGAGAAAATTGTATATACACATGCAAGAATATATATCTTCGTGTTATATACTTAATTATACAATTTACAAACATTTTACTTCAAATATTGCAGAGAAAAAGGACAACGAATTATACAATTGTGAATTATATAATTGTAGTGAAATACAATTTTCTCTAGTTTTACACAACAGAAGTGTATATATTGTGTTTCTGTTTTTGTATAAAGTGAGATAACAACATATATCTTCTTGCTATACACTTATAATTATGCAATATACATACATTTTAATTTCGATTCAACTGTATGCAAAGCAAAATTTTATAAAAATATTGCAGCGAAATAGGCAGCGAAATGTACAATTATGCATTATACAATCGCAGTGAAATAGGACAACGAATTATACAATGGCAGCAAAATAGGGCAGCGAATTATACAATTTAGGCCAGCAAATTATACAATTGTATATGTATAGCGAATT